CTGTAACTCTTCAACTTTCAAACCAAGAAAAAAAAGAAAAAAAAATTAAAAGAGAAATATAAAAACCGACAATTACAAAGTGAATCAAAGTAATTTTATCCCGAATAACAAGAATGAGAAATTAGAAGCATACTTGCTTATAGTTAATAAGTTAATTGAAATTGGACATGACTTCATATGTAATTGTCTTTTTACAATAATTCGAAAATTAAATTAAACATTTTTCTTACTTAATTTATACTGACTCATTCATATACGATCATTCACTTTGATGTTGTCTTTCATGAAAGAATTTATATCTTTAGTATAAATATGGATGATAAATTGTTAAATAAGATAAACCACATTCGAAATCATAAATTGAGGATTTTAAATGGGAAGAAATCGACTAACCAAGATAGAATTTTGGTTAAGATCATGAACTGATCAAAGTTAGATCTTTATTGAAATCCTGGAAGCACTGGACGGTTGTTTCGTCCTAGTATGGAACTCCTCATTAGTGTGCATCCAAGATCAAACTCAGGACCATTTGTATCCCGCGCGAAGGTTTAACCTCTAGATAATTAAGCAGGCATCTTACAGTGTTAATGTCTAACTTCAACCAAGACAGAATTTCTACTGAGATCTTTAAGTTTCATGATTATTCAATTCCCTTCATAGTTTCAAATTTATTTTATAGTTATCATGTTGATTGATAAGTGATAATCAAAATGTTCGTTAATTATACAAACCAATCACTAAATAGTTATTATTAACAGACTTTTCTAACCTTAAAGGTGATCAAATTTTATTTTTTGAAATGCGATTTGACCGTAAACCAAATTAACTTGACACCTTATAAAACTATCTTAATGTTGAAGAGTTGTTGATAATCCTTAAGAATTCTTAATATTAATTAAATCACTTCATTTCCATCAACTAAAGAATATCATTCTGGATCTATTCTGTCAACTAGTTTTACAAGTAAATATTGATAAGCATTATAAAGTATCAAAGTATCATTTGACATATGTAAAATAAACTTTACCAATTGTTTGCCTTCATATTGATTCATTAATTCAATTGTATCGGCTCATTATTTCTATTCTTTCAAAGATTTATGTGAAAAAAAACATATTCTGTCCTAACTTTTTGTTGATCAAAGTAGACAGTTATGTATTTGTGTAAAATAACAACTCATTTTTAAACATTCAATCATTACTCTTGCTTTCACCATTTCTTATTGTTTCCTATTAATATATATCACTATCTCGTGTCCGTTTTTCTTCTTCAGTTGATTGTTTACAGTGATATATTAATAAATCTTTTTAAACATAAAAAAAATATTAAATTCACTTGGTATTATTTGTTTAAATCTTCGCATTAATGTTTAGGACTGTAATTGACCAGTCTCTTATTGGCATATGTGCATCTTTGCTTATGATGCTTGTGAATTAAGGCTATATCGAGGCAATACGCACAGTATGCACATATAGCCAATAAGAGACTGATCAATTACAGTCCTAAACATCAATGGAAAGATTCAAACAAATAATACCAAGTGAATTTAAACTACATCCCATTGCACAAACAAGTGGCTATCAAGACTCAGGAGCTGAATGGATAACGCGATGACGTTTAAAGCCAACGAGACAGGGTTCGAGTCCCAGAATGAACATCAACTCTGAGTTACAGGTACATCCAGCTGACAAGTCCCAAAAAGGGCAAAACGCGCATCCTAAATTCCACTGCTAGCCACTATCTATCTTTGCTTATAATAAGAAATTATTTACTGAAATAAAAAGGTATGTTTATTTGTTCCATATTAGTTTGTACGATTAAATATATTCTGAGAACGTTTTACAATCTCACCCAATCTTTCATTGTAACCATTTAAATTTTATGGGAGAAATAGCCTAGTTCAATATTTCTTTTCATGGCTTTTTCATTTTGATACCATAAAAAACTGTCTTAATTAAGTTTTTGAAAGGAGATTCTAGTTGAATTTTTTTATTTTCTTTGATGATTATCTCTATTTAGTTATAAAGTCTGGAAACTAAATACACAGTAAACACTATTAATTGTAACTGATTATGAAATCATGTTAAAGTCTCGTGTTTTCCTGTTAAATTTTCATAAAAAATGATCAATAACTTTCTTAGGATTGTGATTTATCCCTCCATTAATCATAAATCAGGGTGCTCAATAAAAATAAATTTATCTTATTTTCAAATAGTGAATACAGCCAGCTTAGAACACTTTATAATTATCCATTCTTTAGTTGTCTATTATCTTATCAACAAAAAGACTGATCCTTATCACTTAATAAAAACTTGAGCAAAAAAAAGGAAATTCCACACCACTTATTACTTTCAAAGCTATTACATAACTTAAGCTCTCGATGATTTTTGATTATTTAGCTTAACTACACAACCTCCCTTTTTTATTCAATACCTGAAAATTTTGATTGCACTGAGATAAAACCCTTCCATAAAAATAAATAAATAAATATTTCAGCAAAGAACTATTTTTTTTCACCTTTGAATTCATATTAAGAGTTGTATATCAAGAATTGAATTCGTTTTGTTTCTATAAATATATAACATCCTCGAATACTTAAATATTACAAGTTAATTCTTAATAAAACTTCAACAATATTGATATTTTATATAGTTGAGATCATGAGTCAATTGAAGCTAGAACACCATCGAAAACCTGCAAACACTGAACGGCCGTTTCGTTCTATTCTGGGACTCCTCAGCAGTGCGCATCCATGATCCCGCCTCGCGGGACTCGAACACAGGACCTATCAGTCTCGCGCACGAGCGCTTAAACTTTAAACAACCGAGCCGGCATCCAACAGTGTTGACGTCTAACATCAGCCGATCCACTGAATTGAGCGACATATTTAAAATCACTAAATAACCTTGAAAAACTGTAATAATAATATGTTAAAAATTAGTAGATTTTTTGTATAAAAAAATAAGTTAAAATGTGGTTTCACCATAGTTGTCCATAATTTTAATAGTTTTGTTAATTATCTGTATTTATGTATACAATACATTGTGAAAATACAAATTCAATGATGATTCATGTAAATTATTAGGTTTCCATATCAATACATTGTACGTGGGTACTCTTTATCAATTTAATACAATGTAATGTAATGCATATATTACTTTAGAAAATGTATCTGTTTTATAACTTAAACGTATAAATGTTACGTTTTCATTATTCCATATTTTTGCTTCATTAACTGTTCTTATTTATCATATATATATCCTTGTACATGGGAATGGTTTGTTCCCATATATGAAAGGATAAAGTGTATTACTGAATAAGCTTTCTAATTTTTTTACAGTCTGAATATTCATAAAATTGCAACCAAGCAAAGAAAACGGAATTAAAATTGTCTATCATTTCTATTTATATGTAAATTTTATTCGAATCACATACACATTCCTAATAGAAAGAATACAAGAGACAATTTCATCACTATTCTGACCTTATCTATATCATCTAAGGGAGAATAATAATGTTAGTATCGGTTTATTTCATTAAAATGATCTACTACAATATTAGGAATTTCATGTATAGTAAAAAAAGAAAATGAAAATTTAGCAGGCAGACAGTAAGAATTAAGGTTGAACAGATTGAGACAGACAAATTGTTAAGGGGAAAAATAGTCAGTGTATATTTCAGCTAAACTAATTATAAAGATTACAAGCCTATAGGGATTACTGTCATTATTATTGTATCAATAAGATTATTCATATTTATGAATGACTATACTTCTAGATATTTAAGAATATATAAGATGATTTAAACACAATAATTATTTTCATAGGTGAAAGCGTGAGTCAATTGAAGCTAGATCACCAGAGAAAATCTGGAAGCACTAGACGGCCGTTTCGTCCTATTGTGGGACTCTTCAATTGACTTACGCTTTCAACTATGAAAATACTAAATCTCCACAAAACCCCTTCTGATAATAACAATAATTAGTATCTAGTTTGTCATTGAAGAATTATTTTGAAATCGTGTATCTTCAATGATTCAATTATTATTGTCTGATGAATATCAAGTAAAAAAGTGACGAAATGTTTGTTAATCATCTATTGTTTCATTTCCACATGTCCACAATCATCTAATAAAGATAACTTATAAAATAAATTGGAAAAACTGAAATTCTTTAAAACGTATTCCATTGGAAAGAACAAGCAAATACTCTAATTGGTGATTCACGATTGAGTTTAGAATTTAAATTATTATGAACAATGATTATAGTGTAGATGATTTTCTTCTGATTTAACGTTTCTTTAGAAAAGTTCATTGTTTTTTTGGGGAGGGGGATGAGGTTGATAACCTCTTGTCCAAACTTCCTTCTTTACCCGAACTTTGAACCAGCAGTAACTCTAGAACTAGTCTAGTTGAATTAAATATCAATAATGCTACCAAAATATATATTCCTTATCATTTTACTCAAGTAAATGTTAAGTGCTACACAAATATCAGTTTATCACACTTATCATATGTAGATTAATTAAACGACTGATTCAACAAGAGTAAATTGAATGAATTTCAAAGCATAGCGTTGGTTGTAGTCACGAAATTATGGCATAGGGATCTTATACATTAGTAAACTATAGATTGTTAAACAACTAAGATATTGAAGATAAATTTCATGAATAAATGAATGCAACTAAAGAACCTGTGAGAATTAGAAAGTAAAAAACAGATTTTAAGACTGGTTCGCGATTCATCAATAATACACACTGGTGACGTTAAATTCCCTTTCCCATAAAGGGCATAAAGACCTTCAAACTAATGTGTTAACATTTGTTAGTCTAAGAACTTCTGACATAGGGTGATAGGGAAATGGTATGATCTAAGATACTCCATGAAATATAAAAAAGTACCTACGTACTATAATTTTCATCACAGGATTTACTTAATTTTACGTGATACGACCTAATTTGTTTTTAAAAAATCATGTTCATTTTTATTTATTATTTTTTCAGTTTCCATTGGTTGTAATTCACGTCTACTTGCTGACCGTATTTTGGTCCCTGATACTTCATTTCAACATTCGAGTGCTGCAACTTTACAACATGGAGCTTCTGCTGCTCGGTAAGTCAACAATATCTTATTCATATTGTAATGAACGAAAACTCAGGTAGGGACAACCAAACTATTTTTTAAATATGAAATTACAGAATATTTTTGTAAAATATAAGAATCATACATTAAATGCTTCATTTACAAATCTTCTATCAATCGTCCTTTACATTTTGTCTGATTCTTCCAATTCACAATTCCTTCCTATTTCTGTTTCCGTCTTCTTCAATTCGTTCTTCTTAACACTCTGCTTCCCGCCATTCAACTTTTGATCGGTGTTACATACTACTTATGTCTATAGACACAAGTAGCACATATTACAACATTATATACACTGTTTTGAAAAAAATGGTAAATATAAACAGAATAAATTCCAAATTCACACAGTGTTGTTTACTGACATTTTCTCATCGACGTTTACCACTGCAATTGATCAGTCTCTTATTTACATATGTACATAGTGTGAGTATTTCCTCGATATAGCCTTAATTCACAAGCATTATAAGCAAAGAAGTATAATGACTAGCAGTGAAATCCAGGATGAGCGTTTTGTCCTATTTGGGACTCGTCAGATGGATGTACCTGCATCTCAGAGTTGATGTTCACTCTAGATGTAATTTCACAACTTTTCTTAATTACATCATATTATTCCATCGTGACAAGGAATTATTCCATGACATAGGTTTCTCCAAATTTTAGGTTAACAGAACATAACCCTGGAGTTCTGGTTAGTAAAGATAATATACAAGTCACTTTAAATAGAACCTGATCTTATTAAATAAAGCCATAAAAACCCACTGATACAGACTAAGATCATTATTGTTGTAAGAAAAACTAAATCAGAATTAAATAACATTAGTTATAGAATTCAGTGGGTTAACTTATCAATCATATAGCTATTTTATATACTAGGATAATTTACAAATAGAAATATAAAGAGAAATATAACGACTATATACATTACTGAATAGTATTGAAATAAGACAGAAAATCTGTCTAAAGCAATTAACATCATGAGTCGTTCTACTTTTTTATTGTTGCCGGGGAGGAACATCTAACATGAAAAAAACCTCATCCACTATCTAATGATAATAAAATAATTGAACCATGTATGATTATAAATTATGCATTCAATAATTTAAAAAAAGATAAATTATAACAATCCAATAATTAAGTAGACATTTTAGTTAACCTAACCATGGTAAAAAAAAACAAAAAGAAAACTAATTTCTTTGAATTTTATAAAATAATATTTATCAGAACAATTTCATTGTTAAAAAACTGGATCCATGAGGTATTTCGTGGAGTTGTAGTGAGTAGTAGTAACCAGTGGAGTTCAACCAGGTCTGTTGGGAGATATCAACTCACTGAAGGCATTGGTGAATGGTTGCTCAACTCCGTGGATTGGTTGAAGATAGGCATAGATAGAGAAGTCCCACACTAGGAAGAGTTGGCCGTCCAGTGCTTCCATGTTTTCCATGGTGGTCTAGCTTCAATTGACTCATAATTTCAACTATATAAAAAAATCGTGTTATAAAAAATGTAGTCAAGGTACTATAACAATATTATAATGTCAAGAAATCCTAATTGTTACAATATTTTCATATTTTTTAAAAATTTTTCTTAGTTAATGTTTAAATAGTATCATTATTATTGTTATATATTTTAAGGAGATATAATCTTTGAAATAGAATTTCAATGCTTGTTTTGTTGTTTTTATGTCCAGTTGTTGTTGTTACTGTTGTTGAATCTCTTTTTTTTAAAACTGTCTGACTTCAATATTTCTTGCGGTTAAATCATCCATAGATAATGATACTTATATATGTCTAAGTAATATCAATGATTATTCATCCATTAATCTAGATCAAAGACAAACCAATACTATTTGGCAGTAGTTACCAGACTTATTTGAATACGTGGAGATGAATGAGTTTTTTTATAAAAAAAAACTGGACATCTTAACTCTAAGTTTCGAAAAAGATACTATTCTAACTTACAAGCTTAAGAATTCTTTGGTTGAAATTAAGAAATTACATTAAAAACAGTAAGGGAATTTGTAGAATATGACTCCATCTATATGGCTCAATTATTCAAACAGTTTCCTTAAACTATATACAATGTAACAATGTACTTCTTATTAAATATCAATAAATCTTCATTGCTTTGAAAGGATAAAATGGTTTGTGTACATTAAATGTATTATATTTTACTTAAACACATAAATATTGGACCAAAAGGGGCACCAGATATATATGCGCCACACAAATCTCACTTGATTGGTGTGAGAGCTGTGATACAGCCCGGGTGCCCAAACTCAAACAGGTGGTTTGCTTAGGGAGCCACGCCCGGAACCTTTAACCTTAAGGTCGGATCCACAAGGCAGTGGAGCATCGTGAGGAGATGCAGTCCCATGGTAGCCGGTGACCAATAATAGATTTATATGCCATTTGTTCCCTCAGGATACTGGAGCCCATGTGCACCACTGGTTTGGAATCAGGGTTTTCCAACTCCCCTAGGTGGACTTTCTATGTCCATCAACACGGTTAAAGAGCCAGACGTTCGCCTTTCCGTGGCAATGGCGCTGTATACGCGTGGTCATGTGAGAGCATTTCGTGAGGGAGAGCGAACTCTCCCCACTCTTGGCCGTACCAGGGCATTCGGGAGCAACATACATTTAATCAAAAGTGACATAAACTTGGGCTGTTCAGATATTAGATTCAAAAGAATTACGATGTTTATACAATAAAACTACCAATTTTGGTAAGAGATGAAATCGTCAATGATTATTAAGTGATACACTCGTAGAATTAACGCATTACAACAATAACGAAACTTTTCAAAGTATCTGATACAAAATATCTAGAATTAAATATCCTGTGAAATTTATTTATTAAAACATGATTGTACAAACAAACTTTAGATTCAATATCTAAATGTTAAAAAAGGAAGAGCGAATTTTCAGGAAAAGAATTCCTTGATAACAGCAACAACAAAAACCCGTTAACATTGTTTCCAAGAAAAAATTTCATTATTCAAACCAGTCAGATTCATTAAAAAAGTTTTTCAATAACATTTCCATTTTTTGTTGTTGCTGTTGTTGATTCAATTAGATGTTTTATTGATTATTTGATTGGTTGCATGATAGCTGATAGTTGCGGGAAAATAATCATCTGATATCTGTTTTGTGAATTTTTGAAATACTGTTGAGTTGACATTTTTCAGAGAAGTAGAAAAAAATTGATTTTTTTTCATAAATCAATTCGTAAATGAAGTATTGATTTACTAATAACAGATAATGTATACAATTTACATGATGTAATAATACTTGGAAGCAGTGGATGCCGTTTCGTCCTATTGTGAGACTCCTCAGCAATGCACATCCACGATCACGCCTCATGGGATTGAAACCCAGGACCTTGTTTCAATTGACTGATGATCCCAACTATTGAAATTACTATAATATCCACAAAAACCCCTTCTGGTATAAAAATGCCTTAGAGATACTGAGAAAATGAAAATTACGATGGACTATTTGAAATGAAATTTAAGGTTTTATTTATTAAGAATGAAAATAATAAAACTTTCATGTTTCGGCTTCCAATCAAATCCTTCTCACTGAAATGTATCCTTTTTGTCTTTAAATTAAACAAACAAATTCCATTAGTTTCTAATATTGACAAGGTTTAAACATTGTAAGTTCGTAGAATCCTTTATAACAATAGCTGGTTTTTATAAGCAAAGATAGATGGCGGCTAGCAGTGGAATCCAAGATGCGCATTTCGTCCCGTTTGGGACTCGTCATGTGGATGTACTTGAATCCCATAATTGATGTTCACTCTGGGACTCGAACTCAGTATCGTTGGCTTCAAACGTCATCGCATTATACACTTAACTAGATAGTATTGGTTTTTTCAACGTTACAGCTGAAGGCGGTAGAGGTTTTTAAACAGAATTTGGTGTGCTTTGTCATTATCTATATAATGTTTATAATCTTTTAATTAGGGTATGCATGAGTCTCCTCATCAATATTAATGAGTATGACCATAAATTATATGTAATGTAATGTTCGAAATGGTTGTATGGTGTATGTTAATAATAAACGATGAAACGCCAAATCGGTTTGAAAATATGCTTACTATTAACATTTTTGTGATAAAAACCCACCTAAGTTCGATAACTATTGAAAATCAAGGAGCATTGGACAGCTATTTCATTTTACGATAGAACTCCTTGGCAATTCTTGCCCACGACTAGACAGGGAATGGAATCCATGACCATCATTTCTCACAAAATGGGTTTAGGCTCTGGACTATTATTCCAATATCTAATAGTTTACATGTCTTTCAATCAGCTCGTGATATTACCCAACTATATTTCATTCGTCCTTTGTAGGTGATAGCCTGACACCTGAAACAGTTGATCTCCATTGATCACAACCTTTTACTAGAACTCCGGAAATTCCCTCTCCAAATTAGTCGTCGGTTAGCTATTGCAGCTTAACTTAAAAAGCTTGGATTCCATTCATGATTTTGATGTGGATCCCCATCTCTACGAAGTCACATAGTTGGACGTAACAGCTTTCCACTGCTTCTGGTTCTAAACAGCTGTCGAACTTAATTCGGTTCGTGATCTTAAGACATCTGACATTCTTTACAAAACCCTCATTTTATTATCACAAACACTTCATTGTTTAACACAGAAAATTAACTAACTTTTTAATAGTTTAATTAGTAATGAACAAACGTTCCCCTAGAAATATAACAATCGGAGCTTGAAAATTAAACAATGTAAATATTAAACTTCAATCTAATTTCTATGGACTACGAAACTTGAATATTGTTTCATCTTATAAACGTCCAGATTAATAAAAATACTTCATTTGTAGGTTATGGTTTTGTTTCTAATTCTTAAGACAAGATGAGATAATGAAGTTATATCATAAATTTGTAATTTATGCTTAGAATAGATATAAACCTAGATAAAAGTTGATTAACGGTATATATGGTTGTTGA